TCTCTTCTCTCTCTATCTCTCTCTCACAGATGGGCTAATCATACTTTGACTGATAGCAACTTTTGCTTTGATTGAAAAGAAATTACCCCCCCCCCTACCAATATTTTTTCTTTCTTTTCAGTCTAACCAACATACAACAGAAGATTGAATAATTAAAATACAAAACAAAAACCAAACAAAGCCCAGAGGAAAACAAACATGCCCACAGACACCCATCACGTGCACGGCAACCCAGTCACCAGTTGCCTTGTGATGCCCCCCCCCCCACCCCCCCTATTTTACTCCTTTTCCGCGCACACATGTAATTTTAATCGTCTGAACCTAGGCTTAGGTCTGAACTCAACCGTAGCACGTTACTGTGCATGTCTTTTATCTTGTACATTTAGATTTCTATTTATATAATAAATAATAAGCAACCCTGTTGTCTGTCTAACGGTTCGATATAATATGCAACATTACACTATTTTCTAAGTCAAGAGAAAAATATGATGTTACCTCGACTTGTGATGGGCGAAATCGATTGCAACAGATACGCACCAATTTTTTTAAACCAATAAAAAGAAGGGAAAAAATTCAGCACCCTTAGCCTATAGATCTAGATCTAGAATCTAGATCTAGAATCTAGATCTAGATTAAATTTAGTAAGTTATAGATCCAATTTAAAAAAAACCTGCATGCACCGGTGTGCACGCAAGAGATGAGAAGTGGGGTTTTCAAGAAAGGAATGGAAGAATGATTTCTCCTCATTCACTAACTTTGTATACAATTTCTTAGATCTACATGATTTCTACGTGGAAATCAATAGTTTTATTCCACTAAAATATGAAACACCCTACCTAACAAAACAACGCTCGTTCAAAAAGCGCTATCTTGAAGAGGAATCATGAAAGTGAAAGTAGCACCAGCAGTCAGTTAGGCTAGCGGAGGGCTGTCTGCCCCCTAGCGGGCCTCTTGCGAGTACACACAGCGTACGAATCACGTGACCCACAATAATCAAAATGTCGGAAGACGTGGAAAGCGCAGAAACAGCTGGGCTTATATCCCAAATAGACAGAGACCGGGATTTTAGTCGAAATGATTCAAGAATATTCGTTGCTGATCGCTCAAGCAGGGTATGTATTTTCATATTGTCTGTCTGTTACGCAGCTGTCAGTCTTGTAGCGAAATAACTTGTGGTTTTTGTGTGAACACCCTCCCCGCTTTTGTTCTTTTTGAATGGAGTTTCACGTGTTACCGCTGTGATCACCACGGGCCGCGAAGCACTGTTGTGACTGAGTCGTTGACTGCTCGGTTCTCACCTCTACTTTCGATATATTTTCAAAACAATGCCACGGGCTCTCCTCTCAAACTCACTGTTTATGAGGGGCCATGGTTGTGAAATTTCTCGTGGGCTTGTTATTTTGTTTCGATTATATTTGAAATTAAATACCAATAGCGCTAGCGGTAGCCGAGCGATAGATTTCTAGATTCTAGCCTAGCTTTCTTTATTTCTGTTACTAAGTTTGACTGACCTTACGACGTCGGGTTACTATCGATTTTTTTTCAGCCTCAGCTTTGTTGTCTTTTTAAAACTTTTCTTTCTTGTAATCCTACCAGTGCCAGTGTCTCTTGTGACACTTTTTTGTAAGGGTTTTATTGGTTAGTGTTCTTAGTGACTGAAAATTTGAGGAAGTAAATTTCAATTTTCTAAGAGAAAAAGAATTTTAAACATATTATTATGAAGGCTAACTGTGACAAACAGTTAGTGCAAGAGCCTACTCAGGTAGTGGTAGAGCCTACTCAGGTTGTGGTAATATTAAAAATATAGCCTAACACTCAATAAGAGCCTCTGCCTCAAGGACTAGATTCTTGTTCTAAAACTAAAGAAGCAATAAAATAGTTGAAGGCCTACTGCAGTTCCATACGCGATCATACTACTGTAGTGACAAATATTTTGATATATGTCAGAAGTCAGAAACCAAACAAACTATTATTAGTACTTACTAGGAATTGAAATCCATAGTAGCAAACCAATTGAAAAGAAACTCCCAGAGGGTTTCTTTGATTTCATGCTCAAAACCTACTTAATTAAGCCTTAGGTCGCAAAATATGAAATTTATTATTTGAGTTAGTTAGAACTACTGGATTTCATAAAACGCCTAACCTTGCCGTTTCCTTCCTTCTTTAGGATAGAACCGTTCCTTGAGTCTGAGTACACTTACACATGTCACATGACCATTGAATTGAAAAGTTATAAAAAAATAATGTATTATAATCATTGTTAAATAGATTTAAAATCAACTAGATCTAGATTTTTGGCTTTGGTCACGTGTATAGTTCTGACTGCCAAGTTGTTAGCTGAAGATTGTATTGTCACTGCCCCCCCCCTCCCCCCCAAAAAAGAACATTTGAATGCTCGTCAATGTTTAAGATGAAAGAATCTTGAATACATGACGCTAGTACTTTTGAGCTGTAGATCTAGATGTTCTCTGTCTGGTGACGTGTTGATTTAAAAAATGTTCGATGCATGATATAAATCTGGTTGTTTTTTTTGGAGTAAAATAAATAGAACTTCATACCACTTGTTATGTTCATCCTTGATCACATATTCAAGCCTAATATATCATGTTCTGTACACCTGTCACTATCACTGATCAGTTCTTGAAGGGAAAAAACCCCCCAAATGCTTAAATTATCTTTCTGACTATAAAATGTTTCCATATTTTATGTCACAATTGAGTGAAGTCAAACATTATTTGTATTTTACCCATGGCAGCCCTGGAATTATAATATTTAATAAAAGCCTTTGATAATAAAAACCTCTTCTTGAATTTGTAAATTGGAGGAAAACTATGAATTTTTCTTAGATGCTTTCAATATCATTTGTAAGCATGCTTACAAAATCATGTGTTTAAACTTTTAATTGATTTTAGCCATTTGGAAAAAGATGTATTTTCAAATATAGTTTGAGTTTGTACTATTCATCTGTATGAAATGATAAAAGATGTTAAAAACTTGGAGAAAATGGCGTCAGTTGAAAATGAACAAATTTGGACCCGCAGTTTGATTAAATTTTTGCCAATATATTCGTTTACGAAAAGTTACTCATTTTGTCAGCACGCGTCATGTTGGATGCATATATAAAAAATTTCATGTATCGAGCATTGAAATTTAATATAGACATGAAGTAAAAGAGTGAGAACACTTACAATTTAATATACATTGGTAAACTTGGGAGGACACAAAACAGTCTCCATTCGGAACCTACTCTGGATCCCCACTTTCTTGTGGACCAAAATATGGGTGGCAGTGATGTCATGTGCGAAAGATGATTTTAACTCTTATTTCCAGAAGGGAGAACTTAATTCGACCCATACAGTACATTTTTTCCTTCCTTGTTTATTAGTAGTGAAACGTACAGGTTTTCACAATTTCAGTGTATTTTAAAATGTGGGTATGCAGAATTGTTGTAAGGCCTATAAATGTTACAAAACACATTTTTAAAATCAAAGTAATGCTGATCATTTGTTGCCATTACTGATAAAATCACCAAAAATGATAGTTGTCAAAATGCCATCTACTTTTTAAAAGTTTTAACTTTGTTATTTAATGTGCAAGGCATTTAAATTCTCATTACTTGCCTTTATGAGAATGAAACATATATCATACGTATCCTTGTGTATATGATGCACAGGCAGATGTGAAAGCCAAAATCTTAGCGTTAAAATAATATTTTCATCAGATGAGATGCACCAACTTTTTCATGGCAAGCATCATCCTCATTCGGTCATTGTTAATAAATTTTTAAAATCAGTAATCACATTACAAATTGAGAAATTAAGGTTAAAGTAGTTTAAAAAATTAACCTGTCTTTTGTCAGGACTTTATTGTATTAATATATATTCTTCACCAATACCTTGGTGGCCCTCACTGGGTTTCTTTTTTTGGGGGGGAGGGGGGGGGGGGTATTATTTCGTATCTCATGGAGAAGATTTAGGGTGACTTTGAATAAATCTGATTTTGAAGGAAATAGATGTGTCCTGAATTTGATGATATTCAGTGTACCCTTATTCATTTCTTTCATTCTTCTGTAGGTTAATGGTAAAAAGGCGGTTGTCCTACATTCACAGCACAGTGAACTTGTTGAATGCAATAAAATTGTTTTATGACAAAAATATGATAATATACTGCACCTGTGGCAGTTAGGCCTTCGCATAGTTTTGGCTCACTGCAAATTTTAACTTTTCATAAAAAACTGTAGGCCCTACAGAGAGTAAAATTTGCCACCTTAAAAGTCCTGATGTCTTAGTATAGCTTTCATGGGTGCTATTTATATTAATATGTAAAACAAGTTCAATCTTTTCCTCTTTCCCTTTTTGTTAAAAAAAAATGTTTATAAAATATTGTGCTGTTTTTTGTATAAAGTTCCACTTCATGGTTGTTTTATGATTAATGTAGATTGTTGTCTTTATCTCCCCCTCTTCTTTTTTTGTTTTGTTTATTACTCTCTTGTAATGAGATTGCTAGTTCGGGGGTTCGAGCCTTAGCTCGGTTCTACGTTGTGTCCTTTGGAAAGGCACTTTACACGAACCTCCCACTTGGCTCAGTCCTATCGGAGACGGACGTTAAACTAGGAGGTCCCGCCCCTTAAATAACCTAATAGTGCTGATAGGGGCGTTAAACCTATACCATTTCACCATTTCATTCTCTTGGAACACCTCTAATCTTTGGCACTTAAATGACCTTATAAATGTTGCAAGTGCCGTAAAACTCTTACTAAAAAAAAAAAGATTGTTGACTGGTGTGGCTGATTCTGAAGTGAACGTTAAATCAGTGAAAAGCTATGTGAACTGTTATTGTTACTATATTAAGAGGCAAACGTTTTTAATTTTGTTTGTCTATTTTTAAAATCTAGTTTGTTTTTATTTTGTGGCAAGCAGGTCTGCTTTATAATGGTGACACACATGCATATTGCAATACAATAAAAGTATAAAGTATGACACAGTTGATAAACTAAAATGGAAATTTTATACTTCCACATCCTGGTTGGTTGCTGCACCACAGCTCTTTGCTTGGACAATGAGGGAAATGCACTACTTAACTCATGAACCCTGTTCTGTTTGTGTACCACTCCAATAAACTACTATAAGCACGTACATTATATTGCTTAATAGTCCGTGCAAATAACCTTTTTTCACTCTCAGGAGATCCTATTGCACAGATATCTTGAAACACGACAAAACTAATTAATCTGCCTCTGTTTGTTTGTAACTTTGTTTCTAAAGTTAAAACAAATATTTCTCTCATACAATAAAAAATTGTTTGCCTGTGAACAAATTGATATGATATTAGTTGTAGTCTAGTTGGTGTTTTTTGCTGTACAGTGATTGAAGCCCTGGTTCTTGGTGCCTTATCTTGCTTATTACCTATTACCAAATAAATCGTGAACTGGTTGTAGTTTATAATATGAATATAGGGCTGATATCAGATCAAATATAAACCACGTGAATTTATACGGAGCCCTGTTTTCTTATTCATTTAATAAAACTTTAGTTGTGTGAAATAAATCTTTGGAAGATGTTATTTTATATAATAAAAATGAATCACTGGAAGGTGTTATGTTATATCATAAAAATAGTTCAAGAAAATAATAATAATGCTTGCTTTGTTCAGGAATTTGTCCTGCCCAATGATGCTAGGGGAAACTCGATTCATCTGTTCGTCTCATTAATTGATGTTTGTTTGCCAGTATGTGCTGAGTGTGCTTGGTCTGGATCCGTGCCAGAGGCCAAAAGTGTCCAGTGTGCACTTTTGAATGATGTAGGCCTATGAATTGTGCAGGATTGCAGTATAATGTCAATATTTTTGTTTCATTCTCCAACTGGATTTATTCAAAATTCAGCCAGCCTTTCCAGAATTGAAGGTTGAAATGTCAAGGCTTTTTTTGCTGGTTTTCTAAAAAATGTATTGTTTAAGATTTCCTTTTGTATTATTCCATAAAGACCCTTTAGATATAAAGGGAAAGGATGGCGTTGGTGGGGCTATGAGCCTGCAGGGCATGTGTTTGGACCATAACAAAACTACAAAGAAGACCTACTGATTTTTTTTTGTCGATGGTTCATATATTTTTTTTCCTTTGGCTTTTATATTACTATTATTGAATAGTCCTCTTCATAAAGATTCCAGTTCATAGACTTCCAATACAGGTTTTTGTATCCATACATCTGAAAATGAGCTGTTATTTTTTTTCCAACGTTGCATTTGGCACATGATAAAATTCTTCTGAGTTACAGACAGAACCTTTATTTAGAACAGATAAGACTGATTAATATTTGAATTTTGTATTTTTGTAATTCGAACGTCAAGATCTAATC